TACTTATGGATTTATTGGTCTAGTAAGTATTCTAACAGATCAATGAATTTTGAAAAAATTTTTATTTGAAATTATGTCGAAGATTAATTGGCCTCCTATACCATTTAGAATGACATAAACTTCGTTTTGTATGATATTACGATCTCGAATGAAAATAAAATGAAGTGACATCAAAAAAAGTAGATTTTTTTGAAACGGAATGAAACGATAAGCTTGAATTTAAATCATTTGGAAGTGGCTCACCTTCAAGTCAAGCAAAGAATATCGAAAAAGCTCGTTATCAACAAATTCCTTATATGTAGCTTCGTTCACTGCTGTGTGATCTACGCAGTCCTGAAACCTTTCTAAAATGTCTTCATTGTATTTTTGAGAATTATACTCACTGTTTCCAACATCTTATTGATCCACTGCTTTCTATCATCAGCTCTACGTTTATCGAAAACCATTCGAAGACTTTCACCATCTTCCTCATCCTCATATCGAAAGTTAACCAAGTGTTTTTCAAAGTTGGAAAAATACTCACGAGCTTCTTTGGACGTAGATGTTCCTTTAAAAGATATTCTCTTTTATATATATGAACGTTAAATTTCCGAATCACTTATATATAGAGGGTTTTCAAATCCACTTTAGATCAGTTAAGATTTTTGCAGCTATCTCAAAGATGAATTTCTGCTTTACTGCTACATCTTGGAAAAGGAACGCTAGTTTTGAATTATTTTGACTAGAAACGATTTGAGTACCCACCTAAACCCTTATAATACTTCACTGTGTACTTGTCAGCATTTTCAGTGTTAACCTTCCAGTTTTTGAACTCCTCCATAGAATAAAAGCTGATTGTTTCCGAGCCATTGCGTGCCTTAGACAAAATTGGTCAGTTATAGAGAGCCCGATGAAGTATTAATTTCATACTTTTAAAAGTGGAGTCATAAAAGATTGCACAAAACCACTATGCAATAACTCTGGCCAAAAGGTGTAGAGAAAATTGATGATCAGTCCTTTGATATGGGATCCGTCTTCATCCTATAAATTCCAGTGGTAAGGTTTAGTAGTTAGTCCAATGAATCAACTAACCTGATCTGTTAAGATGATAATTCCACCATAACGTAATTTCGCTCGATTTTCCGCGATGGAATAGTTTTCACCGTAGGTTAAACCCAGGATTCGCATCATGTGATTTATTTCCTTGGAAGCAGTTGCCTTAAACAGCACGAAATCAGTCGTCATGTAGTCCTCTAACGAGCTTTGTTAGATTTAATGCGTATTTGTTTTTTTAAAGAATATGCAGACTTACTCTATTCTTCTCAAAGAAAAAACTTTCCAAATGGCTTTTTAATGTTATTTTCCTTTCATTGTTACATGCATTTTATTTCTGGAACGGAGAATTTAAAATTTCTGTCAAAGAAGCAAAATTTTGTAAGGATTACGGTCGGATTAGTTTTTAAAGTTGGGATCAAAACTAGTAGAACTATACAAGCTATTTGAGAATAGTATTTTTCAAAATCAAATTCACGCCCCTTGAAATGTTTTTTTGCCTAATTTAGAAATTCCGCAACTCTATTCTGTAAGTAGGTAATAGTCCAAATGTTTTTGTATCGCAAATACAGCGGTTGAAAAGCTGGATAATGTTTTGCCTATCAAAAGGTGATGTCATCTTATAGAATGAAAACCCTGGTACAGTAGGTAAATAGATTCTAGAATC